TGCGCCAAACTCAAACACAGATATAAACTCGCAAAAAAAAAAAAAAAAAAAAAAAAAAAAAAAAAAAAAAAAAAAAAAAAAAAAAAAAAAAAAAAGCCACGGTTTCTATGCAGAAAGGCAGGGGGGTATATAAGTGGGAGATACATCGGGCTGTTCTTATAAGCCATGCACAGGACTTGGGGCAAATCACTGTGCAATATCGGCCTTATGGATGATGCCCGCGAATGATAATGTGATAATTTGGTGATTCTCCGCGTATATCTTCTAGTAGTGCGTACCTTTTGATCTTCAGGAGCATTGTTTATGATATCCGTCATCAAGACGGTGAGCAGTTCGGTCACTCTGTTAACGCCAGCTGCGAAGGTTCCATCTGGAGCAGCACTGCCGGCTGGCTGGCCTGCTCTGCGTGCTGCTTCTACCCACTGTCGAGTTACAGAGTCTACAACATAGAGTACGCCCAACTTGTGTGTCCCTGGTGCCTTCTTGAAATGGGTGTAGATCTTTTGGATGAGGACGGATTCGTTCTACCAGCGAGGAGACAGAAGTTAGCGCAAGTCATTCAAATCACCCGGTAGAAACTGAGACAGCGACAAACGAAAGAATGACAAACGTACCTGAACGTTGGCGGTGCAAAGCGAGGTGATGCTGTTGATCTTCGAACCAGAGACACCTGGTGGCTTGAGAGCAAGCATTGATTGGAGATAGTTCTCCAGCTCGGCTACAGCTGAAGACATGATGGGTTGGGTTGATATATAGGCCGTTGCTCAAAGAGTCGCGTCGCGTCTACTGGGAAAACCAGTGCAGGTTGCTTAAAGAAGTGGTCGGTAACAGAAAATCTCTTGCTTTTCAGTTTCCCTTTCTGTACTCTCCACCAAGGTGTAAAAAATAAAAACGAGTATCCTTTTAAGCGGACTTTGGTAGCCGTGTCACTACAGACTTCACGAGCGTATACTTGGCGATAGACAGGGCCTTCCGCCTACAGCTGGAACAAAGCCCGAGCGATAAGTGTCCAGGGCTTGTTTTTCTCGACTCGCGCACGAGTATGAGTACAGGAGTACGTCCTAAATCTGAGAGTGAATATATCAAAGGGGACAAGAAAAGAGATGAAAAGAGATGGGTTTACGACGTATAGACGACCCGTTGATGATGGAGGGATAGTTGAGAAGGGAGAGAAAATGAAAGGGAGTTTTTGGGTGAAAAAGTGCAGGCTCACTAAGTCTGAAGCTAGTCCATAAGAGGAATTTAATAGCCTGAGGTATAATTATCATTTTCCTTGTCTTGGCACATCATGTGACCTTTTCACGTGGCTCATCCGCAACCAAGTTGCTCCGACTTCCGTTTTAATCGACTGCCATTTTCCCCGGTGAATCGAATGCGGCAATCTCTATGGAGTTCGGAGTCCGGAGTCCGGAAAGTACTCAGGGTACCCTAATACAACTCGCCTGAAACGTGAATTTTGTGTATAGCGTTGATACGTGCTGAATCATGAGATTCAATTTACATGCCAAGCACTGTACCAATTCCGCTAAATGGTACCGGGGAGAAGCAGAAAAAAAAAAAAAAGTAAAACTAGTTTGATCAGATGCTGCATCTGCATGTGACCACTTCTGCGATAGTCGTGTGTGCTTGTGTCATCATACAGAGAACATGCTAAGATTCTCTTACTCTACATAACCACATTGGGGCAGCCTCGGGTGACGGCAAATGTACACATTATTGAGTGCCAACGTCACCGGCCCTATGAAGTCATATCTCTAGATGGAGTAATCCTGGAGGACTTAACCGTAAGAGAAGCATAAAAGATGAAAAGCACGGAGCTGCGGATGGCATTGAGAGGCTACTCCGTACAAAGTTGCATAGAGTTATTATCAGATGGAGTTACGGGGTAAACACAGAAGATCAATTACTCTGTGGGTTATGTCTCCTTCATCCTCCCGAAGACCGGAATGTAGCGAAATTCGGAAGACAATATAACATGTCCTGTAAGATCAATACCCATTCCGTCACCATCTCGCCGAAACGGGTTGCTGGAGAGTCTCGGGAGACCGGCTGCGTTGGGGCTAGCGTTACCATACCGTACCCTCATGCAGTCCATTGCCTAGCTTTGTTGCCGGGAGTTACCGTACTGTGTGTACCGGTAGTATCGTTACGGTCAGATGGAAAAAACGAAGAGCTCCGACTCTTTTTTCCACCTGGGTTGGCCTCCCTGATATTATTTCTCTTTCTTCTCTCTTCTTATTCTTCTCTTCCTCTCTCCATCCTTGGTCTTACTACTCCCACTCCACCCACCCCAGATTTCACCATGGCTTCCGCTCTCAAGCTCGGAACCTCTACTCTGCGTTCCTCCATTGCCGCTAAGCCGGCTGTGCAGTCCGCTGCCTTCAACGGTCTGCGCGCCTACTCGACTGGCAAGGCCAAGGTATGCTGCTTGGTTTGGTGACTTTATATAAATTCAATGGCTAATTAGCATTCGTGTACTATAGTCCCTCAAGGAGACCTTCGCCGACAAGCTCCCTGGTGAGCTTGAGAAGGTCAAGAAGCTCCGGAAGTGCGCATTCACCCCACCTCCCCCTCGTTGAAGGTCCCGATTGCCGTTCAAGAAACAAGTGCTAACCATATGCTTGAATTGTTACAGGGAGCATGGCAACAAGGTTATTGGCGAGGTCACTCTTGACCAGGCCTATGGTGGTGCCCGTGGCATCAAGTCCCTCGTGTGGGAGGTGGGTTCACAATGTGACGTGATCATTTTGACATGATGGACACAAGCTAACATACTGTGTCGTAAAGGGTTCCGTCCTAGACTCTGAGGAGGGTATCCGTTTCCGTGGCAAGACCGTAAGTGCTCAATGGATTTTTTTTCTTTTTCTTTTTTCTTCCAATTGTACGATGACGTGCTCACAGCATGCTTTAGATCCCCGAGTGCCAGGAACTCTTGCCTAAGGCTCCCGGTGGTCAGGAGCCTCTCCCTGAAGGTCTCTTCTGGCTCCTCTTGACCGGTGAGGTCCCCTCTGAGCAGCAGGTTCGTGACCTGTCTGCTGAGTGGGCTGCCCGCTCCGACCTCCCCAAGTTCCTCGAGGAGCTCATCGACCGCTGCCCCAACACCCTCCACCCCATGGCCCAGTTCTCTCTGGCTGTGACTGCCCTTGAGCATGAGTCCGCTTTCGCCAAGGCCTACGCTAAGGGTATCAACAAGAAGGACTACTGGAACTATACCTTCGAGGACTCGATGGACCTCATCGCCAAGCTGCCCACCATCGCCGCCAAGATCTACCGCAACGTCTTCAAGGACGGCAAGGTCGCCCCCATCCAAAAGGACAAGGACTACTCCTTCAACTTGGCCAACCAGCTCGGCTTCGGCAACAACAGTGACTTCGTTGAGCTTATGCGCCTGTACCTGACCATCCACTCTGACCACGAGGGTGGTAACGTTAGCGCCCACACTACCCACCTTGTCGGTAGTGCTCTGAGCTCCCCCATGCTCTCTCTTTCTGCCGGTCTCAACGGTCTCGCTGGTCCTCTCCACGGATTGGCTAACCAGGAGGTGCTCAACTGGCTCACAAAGATGAAGCAGTCCGTCGGCAGTGACCTCAGCGACCAGTCCATCAAGGACTACTTGTGGTCTACCCTCAACTCCGGCCAGGTCGTCCCCGGATATGGTCACGCCGTCCTCCGTAAGACTGACCCCCGTTACGTCTCTCAGCGTGAATTTGCCCTCCGCAAACTGCCTGACGACCCCATGTTCAACCTGGTCAGCCAGGTCTACAAGATCGCTCCTGGCGTTCTGACTGAGCACGGCAAGACCAAGAACCCCTTCCCCAACGTCGACGCTGTAAGTTTATTTGACCCAGCCATGACACAAATTATAAAAATACTAATGTTGCCTTTAGCACTCCGGCGTCCTCCTCCAGTACTACGGCCTGACTGAGGCCAACTACTACACCGTCCTCTTCGGTGTCTCCCGTGCTCTGGGTGTCCTTCCTCAGCTGATCATTGACCGTGGTCTCGGTGCCCCCATCGAACGCCCCAAGTCTTTCAGCACTGAGGCTTTCGCCAAGCTTGTCGGTGCCCAGCTGTAAACACTTTTCGTTTCCCGTTTTTGTTGGCATGATATGATCCTCAGGAGGAAATTTTTGGGACATGAAACGAGTCAGAACATTTTGTATTATCTCACATTATCTCATACCTTTTTTTTTTTTTTTTTTTGGGGGGAAGGGGGGGATCTAGACTGGGACGCACGGAGTGTTGGGGTTTGTTCGATATTATTGTATGATAGGACTTGGTTCGAGCGGGCCTTGTAACAAGCACTTCCACGTCAACTTTCAACTTCTCTTGAGCGATCTTTTATTTTTATCGTAAGAGGGTCCAGTTAGATGGGCCATTCTCGAATGTACCCCGTAGTCTCCGGACCATACGGAACACTCCGAAGATAATTAAGCTATGACACTAAAAGCACCGAGCGTTTACTGGGTAATAGAGCAAGAATGAAATGGCGGACAGCTCCTTCAGCTCAACTGTTGGGAGCATCTCGGGTGAATCCGGTGCTCAACGACAGCACAGTACGAAGACTACTTCGTACTTCGTAGCACGGAATGCTCCGTGTTACATGTCCTCTACTCCGTGCAGAGTACGGAGTATATGCGGTACAAGGTGATTGTACTCTATGGTCTATAGGAAATATAGAAGTATCACTGATACTATCGAAACTAGTCAGTACGTATTAGTCCATAGCTATTAGCATACGGCTAATGGCTTTTTGCTGGTCGGCAACGGACAACTATTTGTATATCGCCCAATCGGGCATCGTTTCACCGCCGAGCTCAAAGTGGCCTAGCGCTGCACGGGGACATCCCCAATCTCGAGTCTGATTTGGCGTTGGGCATGGGGTGGCTAATGATGCCTCAGGCTGTCAGCCCGCCAGGTCAATTCCCGCGATTGCACCGGTTTACCTGATCTGTCTTCTTTCCTCTTATATATTCCTCTCCCCCTGGTCTTTCTTTTAACTTCTTCCGCTCTTCGCTTTTTGACTGTTATCCGTCGTTCTCCTATTCGGCTCGAATTCCTCCGATCTCGACTCGGAACTACCCCATCTTTCGGTTCTCGCTCGGCTGAACTCCCACTCGTCGCATTTATCCGCGGCCAATCCTTCGACTCTTCGTGATCCCTTAAGGCGACGCATCCCCATAACTTCCCTTGGTCAGGGCCCCTTTCAGCGCACCCCAAGGCCAGAGAATGTCTACCGCTACTGCTCAGACGCCCGCTTCGGGCCCTAAGCTCGAGAGGAAGCCTATCAAGTTCAGCAACCTGCTGCGTACGTGCTACTGTTTACACTTTGCTGTCCTATTGACATGGTCATTCTAACCATGTTTCCTGTACAGTTGGCGCAGGATTGAACATGTTTGAGTAAGTAAACATCCGATACGTCGAAGTTTCTCTTTGCAGTTGCTGACTTGGATTTTTAGGGTCACATCGTTGGGACAGGTAACTGCTCATTCCTCTGCAAAGAATATTGGCACCCTTACTCACACATCCATCAGCCGCTGGAAGTGATCAAGACGACCATGGCTGCGAATCGCGGCGATAGCTTCGCAGGTGCCATGGCTCGGATATGGGGTCGTGGCGGGATCCTCGGTTGTAAGTGCTCAGACCCCCCCTTTTGCCCGTGCTCCACCGTCAGATGTGGGGAGTTGTTTTTTGGGTTTTGATGCTCACATGCAAATATCATATCTACAGACTATCAAGGTCTCATTCCGTGGGCCTGGATTGAGGCCTCTACTAAAGGCGCTGTCCTTCTCTTCGTCGCATCTGAGGCAGAGTTCGGTGCTAAGGTGCTTGGTGCCCCCGATTTCCTAGCTGGTATTGCCGGAGGTATGACCGGTGGTGTTGCCCAGGCCTACGCTACCATGGGTTTCTGTACCTGCATGAAGACGGTCGAGATCACCAAACACAAGATGGCTGCTACGGGTGTGAAGCCCCCCAGCACCTTTGCGACCTTCATGGATATCTACCGTAAGGAGGGTATCAGGGGTATTAACCGTGGTGTCAATGCGGTTGCTATCCGTCAAACCACCAACTGGGGCTCCCGATTCGGTCTCTCCCGCCTGGCTGAAACTGCTATCCGTAATGTCACTGGAAAGGACGACAACCAGAAGCTTTCTGCGATTGAAAAGGTTCTGGCGTCCGGTCTGGGTGGTGGTCTTTCCGCCTGGAACCAGCCGATCGAAGTCATTCGGGTTGAGATGCAAAGCAAGAAGGATGATCCCAACCGACCGAAGAACTTGACTGTCGGCAAAGCTTTCAAGTACATCTACGACACCAATGGTGTTAAGGGTCTCTACCGTGGTGTGACGCCTCGTATTGGCCTTGGGATCTGGCAGACCGTTTGCATGGTGGCTCTTGGTGACATGTAAGTCCTACGTTATCCGTTTTTTATTTTTTCACTTTACCCATTGCCCCGCGATCTTTACATGCTATTCCCTAGTAGCGAATATCGGACTAATTGGTGGGTCTCCGTTACTCCGAAATAACAGGGCCAAAGAGACAGTCGAAAAACTGACGGGCGAGCAAGTCACTGCTAAGCACTAAAGAGAGGGGTTGAAATACCCTTCTGCTATGCACATGGTCTGATGATGGTCGCCATTGGTCATCAACCCTTCGGACGGACGGTGCAAGCATATCTTTAGACTTCTGTGTACCGAGAAGTCTGCATTACTCGAGATATATTGTACTTGTATGGGACGCCATCCTTTATCATGAAACAGTGATATATACCTATGGTATAGAATAGTGGCTACTAGCATTCATATAGAAGGCACTCGATTTGACCTTTTCTGATTCATCTTACTCTCATAGACTGTTTCTCCTTTTTACTAGACGTTCTACCAGTGGTATGTTATCTCATGCCAATAAGTGATCCGAACACCTGCATTGACAGACAGCACGCTTTCCCTCTATGCAGAACGCCTTGCTTGGTATAACTCCGTCGACAATATCCATGCTTGCTTACTGCTCGAGACACGACAATTGTGATGTTAAATATCTTGCAATTGACCTTAATAGTCATTCCAATACAATTTCTGAGGCAATATAAAGATAAATTATCACTGTAGTTTATCAATGTATCCTTAAAGAGTTAACCTTCTCTCAAAATGATATAACCAAAACCAACTCAATGCATCTACATTCCTAAGAAAAATTCAATAAAGCATAAGATACAATCGTATTACAGTCACAAGAAAAAAGACCGAAAAAAAAAAAAAAAAAACTACAACCACATCAACATGACACAAAGAAAATATCTGCGAAGATTGATCTAGACACATAGTAATTGGTGGGGTGTATTGGTGGTTTTCTTTTCCTTTTTTTTTTTTTTCAATCAAGTCAAGTCTAGCACGTATGGTATACATATTTAAACAGTCAGGCCCAGGTCCTCGGCATACGGGAGCTGGAAGAGGTCGCCAACAGCGACGACGGAGGCCTTGCCGGAGAGGAAAGACTTGGCAAGCTGTGAGAGAGGTCAGTCATATTCATGTCATTTACATAAGGAGGGAGAAAAGTGATAGAACGTACATCCTTAACCTGCTGCTCAGTAACGTTGTCAATGTTCTGGGCGATCTCGTCGATCTGGTAGGGCTTGCCGCCGTTGATCAGGGCGGAGCCAGAGGCCTCAAGCCCAGTCTCGAGGGTCTGGACTGACTCGAGAGAACGGAACTTGGCGAGTGCAGCTGCCTTCTTGATCTCCTCGCTGGCAACCTCACCAGCAGCGACTTTCTTGATAGCATCAACGACGTTCTTGCTGGCAGTAGCGACCTGGCCTGCGTTTCCGGAGAGCGCAATAGTGAAGAGACCGGCGTCAGAGTAGGTGTGGCTCTTGGTCGAGACACGAAGCTGAGCGAAACTCTGGGTGGCCTGGGACAGGAGCGAGAAGCCAGGAGTCCACTTGATGGTCGACTCACCACCAAGGAGGGAAGCGAGGACGGCAACCTCGGGCTTGTAGCCAGAGGTGCCGAATGCGCTGGAGCCGGGGAAACCAATCACGACAGCGTTTTCGGACTTGTGGGAGATGCGCTGCTCACCACCGTGGTACTTCGAGGCCCCCTTGTCCTGGACCTTGTATTGACCAGAGGTGCCAGTGGTCGGGAGCCCCTGGAAAAATTGACCAGCCCACCTAGAAAGCTCCGAGGAGTTGGGGCCACTGCCGACGAGGGCAATGTTGGACTTGGAGTAGGCGTCCTTGGCGAACTCAGAGAGAGCCTCGACGGAGAGGTACTTCTCAAACGGGACGGAGGTGTTAGGGGTGATGTTGTCACCGAGGCCGCGGTGGAAAGCCAAGCCATGGGCGGCATCGATACCAAGGTACTCAGGGTCAGCAGTAATAGCTTGCTGTCTGAGCTTGAGGAGGTTGGCGACGAGCTCGTCCAATTCCCACGCTGGTATATTGAGTTAGACCTTTTTTCCGTTGTATCTTCCCTCCTAATGTCAACCGCTGCGCCCCCACTCACCTGCAAACTTCGATTGAGAAGCAACTTCCGCCAACAGCTCCGTGAAGTATGGGAGGTCATTCGAAAGGAACTTGGTCGTGAGGACGACGTTCTCACGCGAATGTGACGAGGAAAAGGCACCGCCTAGCAGCTCAACCTCCCGAGTGATCCGCAATGCTGACCGCTTCACTGTAGACTATCAATTGAAAATAATATCTTTAGTATTCAGACGTTCCCAGGCATATATAATTGTTGAGCATCGCCATTGAACTCTCGGGGACCTACTTGAAAAGCGAATCGGTCGAGGGCCTCGGAGAAACCAGGGAAGGGCTGGTAGCGGGAACCAGCCTTGGAAACCAGCGCCAGGGTGCTCGTAGGACCGGCGACCTCCCGGTTGGCAATCTTCACACCAGCAGCATCCGAGACCTCATACTGGAGACCGGGATTGCTGGCAGAGGCCATGCTACGACGGTTGGTAACCTGGAGCGCACGGGGCGCACTTCGGCTAAGAGTAGACCGCGACAGCATCATCGCATGTGCCGGATAGAAAGCGGGGGAGGAGAGAGTTCGAAAGCCGGGGAGGCTTTAGAGGCAATTGGGAGGGGTGGTGGTGGCAGAGTTGCTGGCCGACTGTTGTTGGGCGGGATTGGAAAGCGATGTCTGAAAAGCTTCAAGATGCCGGACACCGTTGATTACTCGCCCGCTGATTGGTTCAAATGACGAGTGCGGGCGGAACCGGCTTTTCCTCATTCTCCGTCAGGTGAGGTCAGGTGACTTCGATCTGCACGTGAGCCCCTCGGCGATAAGAAAAAAAGAAGTGAGTCGATTGTGGTCTTCGTCGAAGGCACTCACCTTGGCTTGCGTCTTGTTTAATCTCACGTCTCATGGAGGATTTGCGGTGATTTATATTTTCTCTCTGCCTGGAGAATCGGAGGCTTTCTAGAGGCACAAGAAGAAGAACGAAGAAAAATGACGTCCCAAGTATGCGATTGCATCTCTTACGACCATGCTTGCATCGATTGCTGATTGTAAAATAATACAGAATTATGCGGAACTCTGTACGCTCCTTGTCGAGGATAGCTTTGGAGAGCTGTTTGGGGTAGGCCTATACTTGTCTGATCATTGCTGGCCTTCGCGACGCATTGTTCGCATACAAATTTCGAACTGAAGACAGGATTGCCATGCTGACTATTTCCGTCTCTGATGTACAGCGCATATTCGCGACCCTTGAGCGATATGACCGTTTGAACCTTCCGCGCTTAAAATTCTACTCCCGTCTTACGGACCGTCAGCTTCACCATGGCCTCGCCGCTATGATTCAGCAAAACCTCGTCTTTCATTACACATCTTACGATGACGGTGTCACATACTACGAAGCAAATCAGCACGCTGCATATTATCTCACTCGATCCGGAAAGATTCTGGAATTTATTGAAGGTCGATTGGGGCAATATGCGGCTACGCTCATGTCGGCTATTATGTACTTAGGCCATGCATCCGTTAGTCACCTCGAGACGTTGCCTGAGCTTAGACCCGAACAACCACATAGAAACGGCATCAATGGAGAGCACAAGTACAAGCACGAGCACGAGCACGAGCAAGACGAGGCGAATGGGGAGCACGAGGACCAACCAAATGGCATAGACAGTGAGCATGCTTTGTCAGAGCAGCCCTATCTTCTCCATCCAACCCTCAAGACTCTGGCAGCCCATGGATACATACTTCGGGCCAGAGAAGCACACTTCCAAAGCTACACGGACACCGTCTTAGATGCGGAGCGAGTAGTCACTTCGAGGCCAGATATAAAATCGATGAAAGGGAAGAGGCTGGAAGAAACGGTTATCGAGAAGACGTTAGAAATAGTCAAGGAAAAAACCGACGGTGACCTTAGTCATGGTTTGAAATACAATGGCGTTCCCCGAGGTGCGAAACAAGGGCGCGGCGCAGCTCAGTCCAATGATCCTATCAAGACGGAGCAAGCCGATGTCGATGAGGATGACGAGGAAGATGAAGATGAAAACGAATGGTCAGATAATGAATTAGGCAACGATACTGTTCCTATGGAGGTAGGTGTCCATTTTTTTTGTTCCTTGGGAGGAGGCTAATGTCCTTCAGTCAAGCTTAATTGTTCGGGTTAACTATGAAAAACTCGATGTTGCGTTACGACACTGCCGTTTCATCGGACTCGCAGAGCAAGATTCATCGGCTGTCACTGCAGAGGTATACGAATCTTTGCTTCGACGAATTGAATACCAGACCCCGCGCTGTCGAGATACAGTCGAGATTCCTCGTGAGGGCGAAGAAGGGGAACAATATTCTGTCCCAATTCCGCTCAGTGCCATCGCGGAGGATGTCGACCAGCAACTTGATCTCTCAGGTTCTATTGGCCCTATGGATATATCACAGCCTTTCAGCCGGCGCGGCAAACGCCCATTGGAGGATGGTGTCAACGGAACCAGTAATGAAGGGACTAATGGATTATCATCTGGTTCCAGTCGCACATACGAATTGGACCAACATCTTTGCCTTCTGGCGCAACCACCCCACAATTTAACTTCAAAACGCATAGTTGGAGGTTTGATCACTTGGACGGTCGAATACCGGTATGTAGCGCGTATATTGCGCCATCTCGAGCTGGAAAAGATGATTGAGGCTCGATACGGCGATGTGGCCTTACGTGTTGTTCGCGTTCTACACGCCAAGGGTAAGCTAGATGAAAAGCGGCTACAGGAGATAAGTCTATTGCCTTTCAAGGACCTACGCCAGGTTCTCGCTAGCATGCAGACGGGTGGATATGTCGACCTACAGGAAGTACCCCGGGATGCGCAACGGCAGCCATCACGAACAATCTTCCTTTGGTTCTACGACCCTGACCGAGTCGCCAGCGGTGTCCTGGAGGACGTATACAAGGCTATGTCCCGGTGCCTACAGCGCCTCAAATTCGAGCGCAGCCGACTCAGAGAATTCCTTGAGAAGACAGAGCGAAGTGATGTCAAGGGCAACGAGGAACAATACCTGTCAGAAGGAGAGCTGAAGATGCTGGAACAATGGAAGGCCAAGGAAGCACTGCTGTTTGGCGAGGTGTCCCGGTTAGACAACATGGTTGCCGTGTTTAGGGATTACTGATGAGGTTAAAATTACTTTGGTTAAAAAAGGTGTATTTCATATTTGCATTGCATAAATTTTTTTTTTTTTTTTTTTTTTTTTTTTTTTTTTTTTTTTTTTTTTTTTTTTTTTTTTTTTTTTTTTTTTTTTTTTTTTTTTTGTGCTAGCATAGCACATAGCATCATTATATAGAAAGGAGATGCGACAATTCCTACGACTTGTTTAGTTCTGGGCGTCTGTTATCTACCCTAATACAATCAATTCATTATTCACTTAACCTGGCATCGTCCAGTTTCATGGTTTATCTACTTCATCTTATGCATACATGATCTATATCCTTCAATGAAGAACAGACTGTAAAGAGGACTAATGATTATTCTCTGTTCTGTCTCATGTCAGTTGATGCATTCAACATTAACGTGATTCGCATTGGAAAGGACCTTAACTCCTAAGGTCGGTCAAGTACAAAGTACCCTCTGAAGCATCCAGTCTGTTTCGGTTATACTTAAGGCGAAAATTATACCACAGGGAAATCTTATATAGCAATCCATTAAACTACATAACGTGTAAGGTACATAACTTGCACATGTTGATAACTCGATTCTGGGGTACCATTCTGCCCATCAAGGACCACTTATCAACTCTATTGATTTTTTCGGAAAATCAACCTGGATTTCATGTGGTGGCCACTTCACATGAGCCTGTTACTCCAGGCCCCGCCCCGGTTGATGCGGAGAATGGACTGTGGAGGCTGTACATCAATTGTACAAGGATATATAGTATCGATGGTCACGGACTCAACAGAATATTCTGCATGATCGGAGACTCCGTAGCTTTAGGTTCTAAAAAAGCAGCATGTGACCCATTCGGTTATGTTTGATGGTAATGACGTAGCATTCCTCTCTCTCTCTATTATTACAGGACGACGCCCATACAAAATTTTGCATAAGTCATGGAAGACACCAAAACCCATTTTATGCACTGGGGCGCATGGACCAATAAGAGTCTCCGCTTTAATTACCCAAAAGGCAATCGTGTCCGGCCTCGGTCCTTCCGATCCGGGGACCGTTTTGATATCACAGGATAGGAGTACGGAGTACTCAGTATATAATTATTCTGGATATGTTATAACTGTAGCGTAATTGAATAGAGATATAGTAATATGAGCGAGCTGATTCTTCGCTCTGCCAACTAACCAATGCAATTCTTATACCTGTACTACTAGTTACGTACGGAGTACTACTCCTACTGCTATGCAAAATGCCGAGGTTCATTGGACTATCTATTTAGTGACCAGCCAATCACCGACTCCACCGCCCGAGAGAGAGGCATTCCCGGAGCAATTAACTACTCTGTACAGATTCTTCTTCTTGTTCACTTCTCTCCCTTTTTCACCTGTTTTTCTTTTCTTTTTTTTTTTCCTTCTCCGGTTCCTTAGAAGTGCCTCCATTGATCTCCTCCCTTATACTCAGCACATTACACAGTATTGCTTGGAGTGTTGCTCTTTCTTTCTACAAACCATAAACGTCAGTTTAGTACGGAGTACATATATTCGACTTTCCGTTCTCCTTTTGATATTAATACCATTTCCTTTGGTATGTACACCCTGTCTTCCCCTCCCCTGCTTCAATGCTAAAGATCCCAGACCTGTCAAACATACGTATTGCAAAATCCACCACGACGTTATGTTCTCGTCGCAGCCCATCCATGCTGCTCGCGCGGCAGAGTTGAGGGAAGAACCCCCCAAGGGGACTCCCTATTCCGTTGCTGTGCCTGGCTCCGAGCAGCCAGGCCGGAGTAAGGTCTACCGTGCTTGGAACACACAAAAGGCCTTGCTGAAGACCTTGGATCCCCAAGTATGTCGTCAATTCGCGTCTTAAGTAGGCACAAGTCGGCGCTAATACTAAAATTATTGTGTATTTTTCAGGTTTCCACAGCTCATGACATGTTCGAGTTGACTGCAAATCGCCAGCCGAAGGCTCACTGTCTTGGGTGGCGTCCATACAATCCAGTCAGTAAGAAATTTGGAAACTATAAATGGCTTGACTACCAGACCGTCCAGAAGCGCCGCGCCGTTTTTGGCGCCGGTTTGGCTGAGTTACACAATAAACACGGCTGTAACCGTTCGGGCCCGTACGGTGTTGGTATTTGGTGTCAGAACCGTCCGGAATGGCAAATCACAGGTGCGTATGTAGCCGGGATCATTACTCTGGTCATTCATTGAGCGTGCGTTTTCGCCCGAGTACCTGACTGATTTTATTTTCTTTTTCAACAGACTTGGCATGTATGTCTCAGGGCCTATATTCCGTTTCGATCTATGATGTCTTGGCCTCGGACGCCACGGAGTATATCATCAATCACGCCGAACTGAACTGTGTTGTGACCTCCTTGCCGCATATTCCTACCCTGCTCAAGCTCAAGCCGTCGTTGCCGAACCTGAAGATCATCATCAGCTTGGATCCTCTGGACTCCGGTGAACAGGCGGGTCATTCCAAACGTGCACTGTTGGAGTCTGTTGCTGCGGGGCAGGATGTCGCGATCTACACGATTAACCAGGTCGAAGAGCTTGGTGCCTCATTGAATCGTCCCTACAGCCCACCATCTCCGTCGGACACTGTCACCATCAATTATACCTCGGGTACCACTGGTCCTCCGAAGGGTGTGGTCTTGACGCATGAGAATGCTGTTGCAGCCGCAGCGAGTGCACTCGTCATGTCTGAACAGAAACCAGGCGACACAGTTTTGTCGTATCTTCCGTTGGCCCATATCTATGCTCGTTTGGCAGAGCATGCGTCCTTCTGGACCGGTGGTCGAATTGGGTATTTCCACGGAAATATCGTGGAATTGGTCGATGATCTGAAGCTCTTGAGGCCAACCGGCTTCATGTCCGTCCCTCGCTTGTACAGTCGTTTTGGAAATGTTATCCGCGCCTCGACTATCGAGCAGCCGGGTGTCAAGGGTGCCATGTCGAGACATATCGTTTCGACGAAGATGGCGAATCTGAAGAACCCTGACCCTAGCCAGGCTACGGCGAAGCACGCCTTGTACGATCGAATCTGGGCTAAGAAGGTTGCGGCGGCAATGGGTCTGGACCGGGCCAAGTTCATGGTCTCTGGTTCCGCGCCGCTCGACCCGTCGCTGCACAACTTCCTCCGAGTTGTTCTGGGAATAGACCTTATCCAGGGCTATGGCTTGACCGAAACCTATGCCGTGTCGACGGCGCAGTCCGCTCAAGATCTTACTGCTGGTAACTGTGGCCGTTTGGCCCCCTCAACGGAAGCATGTCTGGCTTCGCTACCCGATATGGAGTATTCAGTTGATGACAAGCCCTACCCACGGGGTGAGTTGCTTCTCCGTGGCCCCACCCAGTTCCGGGAATACTTCAAGAACCCAGAGGAGACGAATAAGGCCTTGACTGAAGACGGATGGTTCCGCACCGGTGACGTCTGCGCCGTGGATGAGATGGGTCGCTTCATCATCATCGACCGCCGGAAAAACGTCCTCAAGCTGGCTCAGGGGGAGTATATTTCTCCCGAACGGTTGGAGGGTGTTTACTTATCCGAACTTGGCTATTTTGCCCAGGGTTATATCCACGGTGACAGCGTTCAGACCTTTTTGGTGGGTATCTTCGGTGTCCAGTCCGATGCGTTTGCAGCGTATGCCAGCAAAGTGCTAGGTCGCACCATCGGTGCCACTGACATCGATGCCATCCGATCGGTCTTGGATGACGACAAGATCCGTCGGGCTGTGTTGAGGGATTTCGAGAAGGTGGCCAGGAAGCACAAATTGGCCGGCTATGAGAGAATTAAGAACTGCAAGCTGATGCTTGACCCGTTCACAATTGAGAATGACCTGCTTACACCAACGTAAGTGCTGAATTGACGACCTTTCTTTTATTGTTCGACATTACTAACTTTTTCCCCAGTCTCAAGCTCAAGCGCCCTCCCACGGTTAAGAAGTATCGCCATGTCTTGGATGAGCTCTACACTCAAGCTCTCGAGGAGCAATCCGCCCCCAAGGCCAAGCTTTAAGTCATTTTGCTTTTGTCTTACCCTTCTTGTCTACTGTATAGATTGTCATATCCTAGCAGGTGTTTGTAAATGAGAAGCTGTATATACCTTGATCTTCTCTTTATCATACGTGACACCATGATTTAGTTTTTAATATACTTATGACAAGTAATAAATCAATCGAGCATCGTTAATTCAATTTTAACAATAAGTGTTAAATGTTAAGCTAACTGTGTGCCGCAGTTAAAGCGGTGATGCTTGGCGCCGGAATTCATCGACTTCACATCTCCGAGCTTCAATCAACAACTGGCCAAACTGTGCCAACCTACCACAATTATTTTCCCTTTTTCATTTCTTTATTCTGCTTGACAAAATGCATTTTTCAATAATACCTATACCCTCCATCGTCCTCCTCGCCACTACAGTCATCTGCTCGTCTCTAACAATCACCATTCCACCGTCCAACCTCCTCCCAAATCCCAACGTCCTCCCAGCAGGCACACACGCAACCCTCACCTCCCTCCCCTCCTCCTCCTCCTCCTCCCAAGACCAAACAACCCGCAATGCCCTTTTTAACGCACCCCTAACCTGCTCCGCAACCTTCGTCTTTCGCAATCTCCAGCCGTCGGCTCCCACCCAGCCCGCGTCGTATCTGCTTGACATCCGCTCCGCGGAATACGTGTTCGCTCCGTATCGCGTCGACGTTGCGGCTGATGGTAAGGTGTTGGGCGCATGGGAGACGTTCCGGGGTAATCCTTGGGACAATCGCGGCGCGGAGAAGTTCAATGCCGTTGATGCTGCTGCGAGAGAGGATGCCACGGTGGAGGCTAAATTGTTGGCCAAGAGAGGATTTTATGAGCAGAGGTCGAGCTGTAAGTTGCCACCTGAATCTATATCTATGTGTGTTGATTTGGCATGGAATGTTGTGCGCTAAATGTGTATGATCTAGTCTCACCGTTGTCGTTGGTCAAGAACCCGATGATCCTGCTTGCGCTGGTGGCCCTGGGTTTCATGTTTGGAATGCCCAAGCTTATGGAGAACAGTATGCTGTGTTTCTTTACTCATTTTTGGTGGACGGGGGCTAACATGGTCCTTTCTAGTGGACCCCGAAATGCGCGCCGAATTCGAAAAGCACTCCCGCTCTTCTCCCATCACTGGTGGTGCTCGAAGTGCCATGTCTGGTGGTGGTGGTGGTGGTGGTCCGGGAAATTTTGATCTTGCCGGGTGGATGGCCGGAACAGCACCAGGGCCAATGGCTAGTGCAGAGGCTGCTGCTCAGGGTGCAGCGACTGGTAGAGAGAGCGGTGTAGCGCGCAGAAGGGGATGATGCGACGGTTGTTTCTCGCAGGGATCCTTTGATTAAGGGTTCAGGTTTAATAATTCTACAGTGTTCAAATATAAAATCTTGATGCATGATCCCCAAATTGCAAGTCATGGTTGTTTTAAAGCGAAGACTGAAGCTCCGAAATACAGAATGACAAACGTTCAAACCAACCCATGTTGCATCCTCCCGAAATTAACAATACTATACTTGAAGGTCATGAAGGAAGCGTATAATCGTCAAACGTATTAACCATGACCAAGTGCGGCCACTAGAAGTCACCACCACCGAAATCATCACCACCGTCATAATTTCCTCCATCATCACCATAGTTGTTTTCGACATAAGTATTGTCATCCCCATCGAATGCTTCCGCCAGCAAAGCGCCACCAAGCAACCCACCGCCAACACCTAACGCTGCCGCACCTGCATTTCCCATGCCACCTTGTCGTCGCTGGGGATGTGCATACCCACCCTGCATCGGGTATTGGGAGTAACCATACCCCGTCTGTGGTTGCGCATAACCTCCATAATAACCACTTGGCGGGTACCCATATGACTGCGGTGGCGGCGGGGGTGGTCTGCTGTACCCTCCGGCTCCATAGGGACTACTACTGCCTCCACCGCTTGGCTTAGCCTTCCCCATCAACTTGCTCAAGAAACTCCTGCTGCGCGTTCTATTTCCCCGACCTGTATCCTGAGGCGCCAGATTCTGCGCTGACGAAGGACCCGGCGATTGCGCATGCGAGCCATCGCTGTAATAATCAGCAGCGGCACCCGGCTGTACTGCTGGGCTTTGCGTCCCGGATCGAGCGTTCTCTTCAGCTTGTAGCCGCGCAGCTAGCTTTGCATCGCTCTCGATCACATCTTCCTTATCTTTTTCTTGGTTGTAGGGGTTGTTCGAGCCAAAACCACCTTTCTTGTCATTCGCACCCGCTGCAGAGTTTCCTGCGCCGGATTCCTCGTATGATGGTGGCGGGACGCTAGGAGGTTCATGCAGCTCCTCTTGCTTCTTGGCTGGGGCTTCTGGGCGTTCCCATTGGGATTTGCCGGTGTGCAGGTTTACGAAGTACCTAGTAGTTCAAGTTAACCACTGTCTTTTTGACGTGCTTTGATTTGAGCGCTGTAGGTTAGGGGTATGTGAAGCTTACCATTGCTTATATCGGTCATCGAACTCAGGCTTCCACCCCTCCGGGACGGACGGCGGCGGAGGACCGGCAGGCGGAGCGAACGACATTGAGAATCGTCGTTGTATTGTATGCTCAAGCAGTGGACTGGTATAAATTGATCAAATCTGATGTAGAGTATATCAGTCTTTGATGATGACAGTCTTGATGATAGAAATCAGAACTTATAAGAACGCATAACTTTGTTCATTCGGAACAGGAGAACTACTTGTATATAACCATAAACGTAATCCCATCACTGGATGCAAACGCCAGTGGCGGTGCATCAGCCACATGATATAATTGGCTGGCTACAGCTGGGTAGCTACGATGATCTCACAAGTATGGAAGTTTGGATAATTATTGTGAATTGATAATATTTTTCTGGAAGGTTGAAGACTAGGTTGAGACACCAAGAAATAAGACATGATCCTCCGGCATGCATATGCGTTACTATTTATAACACGATTATCGCTTTCCTTTTGGGGACTGTTGTCATATAGTCTGTCAGATCATTGTGGGGATTTTCTATAATATCGTATGCAGTTTAGATTGGCATTTTTGCAGGATTTTACACAGGTGGTACAAATGGATTGATCGGTACGATCATTTTATTAGGTTTCCGGTTCGAGACGCAGAGTGTTACCCCCGGATTGATCACTTGAAAGGTCTTAGTAGACAGCATCACGAAGCCCTTATCCGATGGCGGATGGTCTGAACACCGGCACCTCGGAATTCGGCAGTAGTATGTACTTGTATGTATTCCCAGGCTCCGGAGCAGCACCCTGTGGCCTGCAGGCCAACCCGGAATATGTCTAAGATTAAATAGGTGTTACAGACCTAGCCACATCAGCCTCACGTGACTACACGGGGAAGAAAGGCAGAACCGTTGGATAGCAGATTGTGATGGAAATGCAGAAGGAACAAGGATCAAGTTGATATTTTATGAAGTAATCACGTGACCTACCATTTTCCTACCAGAGGAATGGTATACGAAATGGTAGGAAGTGAGGGATATATAAGGACACTCATTCATGCACTTAGTTTAGTTCTTCGCAATCAATCTAGTTAACCAAGCACTAGTTACCTTCTAGTTTCTGACTCGTCCGCACTTAACCAACAACCCAGCATACGTGCTCGGTTGGCCTTGTTTCTCTATTCGTTACCTGTACCGTTTCTACCTGTTGATTATCTTACGGAGCCTGGAGAGGGCGACATACCTTCGACGTGATACACAGAGGACCTGGATGTTCATTGAGCATACGGTTACTTGGAAGACACTTAGGGTAAGTGTCCTGTCTCGAAATACAACTAACTAGAACCCTAGGTACGATACGAGAGAAGCCAGGTTGTGACAATAGGTCTTTATAAGGCTGTATGATGGCAAATTTATATACACTAGAAATCCATCACATTAAAATAGGTCTAAGATCACCTGTATCACACCTATCCTCTTTCTCAATTCATCTTTTTTTCATATCTTCTCACTTCTTCCATGATTCTACCCCAGCCTTGAGTTAGGGGTTGGATTTTCACGTGCCAGGGAGTATATCATTGTGCATCTCATCCCAATTCTCAGTTCATATCATCATATGCATCACAATGAGAAGCCATGACAGAGCTTTCTCGCTTATTTCATGAGTCCCTTGTGTGGTAAGCCCATCATGATAGATCAAGTCTCATTGGACGATTATCAACCAAGTTCTGATTCAAATCCAATGGCGTATGCAAGAGAGATGGTATTGATATCCACATAGGAAGCGATAGCCCACACACATACGGCATTATTGTTTTTTAATCATGGCTTGGACTAATCCTCTTCGCCTTCTTTGGGGAAATTCGGATCGATAGTACCGCTTGCTGGCCACCAAAAGTCCTCCTCTATGTCTTCTTCTAGTTCTCCAAGCACTGTTTCAAATATAGATGGGCTTGCAATCTCTTCTGGATCGGACTCCAAGGTGAGGTCTATTATCTCAGGTTCGGTCTTCATAATCACTCGATCATCAATTTTCCCGGCATGTCGCTTAGACCTATCAATGGGACGTGGAAGAAGAGGCCCCTCATCATCTATTTCTTCACTGCTGCAAAGATCGATGAAATTATTGCTGCTGGATGAGATCGGTTTGGCGGAACTAGTAGAGCCATCTCTTTTTCTTTTGTTTTCTTGTCGTCGTTGGTTGCGTATCCGGGAGATTTGGATTCGAGAGGCAATTTCTTTTCGAGACTGTTCGTCGAGCCCTCGCCGATCATTTAACGGAGCACCATCAAATTGACGAACTAGTACTTCCTCCTTGAGAGGAGTTTCAGCAATGAGATGTTGAGGTGTGCTGTCAGGACGCGCCCAGCTAGCAAATGGGCCCTTGTAGTGAGGTCCTTTTCCGACGCCGTAAATGGGATGTCTAACCAGCTCCTCACCCAGCAACATATTATTCGCCATTTTAGCCTCGGAGTTAGAACCTTCCTGTTGGTCCCCGTTGTCGTCAATAGCCTCGGTCGAGCTCTCAAAGACCATACTCTGCTCATCACTGGCCTGAAATGGACTTGATGATAGCACATGAAGGCCCCCAGCAGAATCACCTATCAGAAGGTTGGTTTTATCACTTGAAAATGCACCACACATAACCGCGCCTGGGAAGCGCGCAACATCATCAACATGAACATCCTCCTGGGACCGAAGAATATCCCATCTCTTTAGAACGGCATCCGAAGCAGCACTGTAAAACTGGTCAGGACCATCCCCCCATAGTGCCATCCTGACGCCGACATCCACTCGCTCCCGGGGAAGACTCTCATCTATCTGCTCAGAAGGACCATCGTGCCCAAGCCGGAGCAGAATATCCTCAGGCTTGCGGTAATCCCAAACGTATGTAACACCATCAGTACAGCTAGCAGTTACATAATAAGGATTCGCCGGACAAAAAGTCACATCGTTAATATCCAGGGCAGGACAGTCGAGTTCAATTCTGTGCATCTTTGATCTCAGAGGATCATATAACCGAACAACTGACCTAGCGAGTGAGGCCCTCGAGGGTGTCGGAGCGCTCCCAGTGAGGAACAATGGCAATGAATGATGCCATTTTACATCAAAGATATTTTGCGCATTTGGAGAAAGGTGAATTGGTGTCATCGATGCTTCATCCATGCGCCAAGCTGCAAGCAGCCCATTCTGTGGAACTCCTTCATCCTTCTCATCCTTCTCTGACATCCCGGCAAGCAGGATGTTCCTTGTTGCTGGAATAGTGCCCCATGCTAATGAGGTTGGCACCAATTCTATATCTTTCTTCCGCTGTCGTTGTTGAAATTCCAGTGAGGTATGCTTTCGCTCTTTGATGTTCCACAGTCCAATAGAATCCGTACCAGTTGCCAGTACCTGTTCATCAAAATTCGAACGCGCCATTACCTCAACCTTCGAATTATGTCTGAGTGTGCCAACACAACCAGCATTGGCATGACTGCTGACATCCCACAATTTCACAGTGTTATCATAGCTTGATGTAAAGAGTATATCATCAAACCACTGCATGGCAGTGACACTCATGAATAGACGTGTATCTGTCTGGTTTTGGCCGGGCGTCACTCGCCTCCAAGGGCATTTTACCCAGTGGTCCGGTAGCTCCTTTATATGGTTTCTTGTAAGGTCTCCCAAAACAAGATTGTTACCCCTATTGTATTCCATGTTGTGTTCATCACTTTGCGCAGTAGCGCCGGCTGCGAACCTGGTTCCATCCGGTGACCAAGCCAGAACAATAACGTCATTTGAGGCGCCTTGCCAGTGCTTGGAAGGTTTCAGATCTTGGGCAAAATAAATATGTAACTGTTGGCTGGTATTGCCCAATTCACGACCATGTAAGAGCCCGTTTAAAGTTCTTTGATCGCGAGAAGTTCTGCAAGATGAAGGATTATCCGGCCGGGGATCATTGATCTGAGGATGCTGAAAAGACCGGGGCGGCTCCGGTCTCGGGTCCAACGGGGATGTCGAATGGCCTCCTCGTGGTCGGTATGCTACCGAGGAGTTGCGCGATCGTTCGCTCACATTTTCGTCTGAATCCTGCTCGGCAAAGAGGTTTATTTTCTCGTAATAATTGATGGGCCCGGTTCTCTGTCGGCCAGAACGTCGTGCTGCTGGTGTTGGCGCCGAATTTCTATTAGGCAACATAAGCTTGGAATTTTTGGCATACGCCGGCCGGTGTTTAGCGTACGAACTTCTCATGAATTGCGATAGTAAGAGCTGAGCTTCTTGGGTCAACCCTTCTTTATTCTCTATGTCGGACAAATACTTGGGCATTATGATAAGTCTTCAATGCTCCCTAGCCTGGCAAAAATTCTGACATATTAGCTGGGCTTTCTCGGTTCTCTTTCTTTTCTTCTCTTTTATTTCTTTTATTTTATTTTATTTTATTTTTTTTTTGGTCCCTTCTCCTCCCCTTATCCCTACCGGAACCCAGAGTGACATATACTTACCGAGAGATAGCCTGTAGTGTAATGCAGCACTAACCTTTTATAAGTTGAAGTTGCTGCAAAAAATGACTTTCTTGGGCGTTAAGAATTGTCAAGGAACAGGATGCTTGGTTGGTATGAGTGAATAACAGATTTTTCCTAACTCCATGAGACCAAAATTAGCATACCATTATGATACTTTTCCCAGAAGCATTCAGTATCGCATCTTCTTGGGCAGAGGCACAATAATCCTTCTATCATTGGGAGGCCCAATAAAATAAATCGTTCAAGTATTGAGAAGATCTGCTCAAAAGGAAACCACAGGTCAACATGATGTTAATTGAAGGTTGGTTGTTTGAGCTCACATTTATTAGTGAGGGGAGTAGTATTATCATCAAAGCCATGAAAATATGAAAAGTCAGGACAATACAGAGTAGAGTATGGAAAGTCAAAAGTTGAGGTCCATCTCAATCAACGCGTCCACGCGGAACCGCGATGATCTCTGAAAATGGTAAGCGGTCAGATATACCACTGAGGGTGGGGTATCAATTACAAAGGACTGTACCCCTGGAAGTATAGGGATATTGGATTATGTAGAGCTCTATTCACATACACTTTGCATTTGATGGAATATAGACACACTCATAAGCTGAAGCTGTACAGTAATTGGCCAGTAGCCCATGATACAAAACAGTTGAGAAACATAATTATTTCTTTTCCTCCAGAATTACCACACAATAGAAGAAAACTATCCCTTGGTAATATTCCTATACAGCAAAAAATGCCATGGCAATTAATAAAGCATGCTGTAAACTGTCCAACCAACAGAGACTGACGAGGGGAGAAGAAGAAAGAGAGACATGATGTACCCAAAGATAGTAACACCCAAACATAGACACAGGGAAAGGAGCCCTCTGCATATTTACAACATGGGATACGGGTATCATTTTTGAAATCCCCATTAATGATCATGCTCGACGTTTTTTTTTTTTTTTTTTCTCTTTATTTTGAGACCGCCTGGGATCGCCGAGCGGCCACTGTCATGCCATAGATAAAATCCTTGAATGCAAACAAGAATGCTGCAGTGATTGCACTTTGGGTTACCTTCGGTCCAATGCCTGTGCGGTGTTGTCAGCCTAAGATGCATACATTTATTGCATCACGCAAGACTCGATTTACCTTTATACAGACCCACGTAGCCTTCCTCCTTGATGATTCTCTTCAAACTTCCATTCAGACTCTCTTTGGGGCCTTCTTTGCTAGCGACATGCATCCGACTTTTGATCGTGATATAAGGATATGTAATCGAAGTGGCCAGGATTTTGCCTAGAGCACCGAGATAAAACGCATCTTTCGGGGTCACACGTCTTCGGCGCTCCAAGACATTCTTCAATTGCTCAAAGATTGTGTATTGGAGGATGGGATTGATAACCAACACGAGCGCCGGAAGGACGCCTGCGAAAAGGGCTTTAGGGCCCTCTTCATGAAGAAGCTCCACCAGGGTACTGATAGTTGACGGTCGTGCTTTCTTGGGGGGCGTCCCAGGCAGGCTCTGCTCGTCGGAATCTGACTTGCGGGCCGTCATCCGAGTATTTATGACCCAGATTGGGTTGGTAATCATGACTGTTGCACTACCAGCGAGAGCACCAGCAACCATGGACTCAAAGGTCGTGAGCTTTTTCGAAGCTCGGCCAGCCTTGATAGCAGCCTTCTCAAATGCGGCCCGCGTCCACTCATACCAGTAGTAATATACAAAATTGGTGACACTAATTCCGAACAGTGCAGACTCCAGGCCCGCATATAGACCCGAGAACCCTTCTCGCTGCACAATTCGACGGACGGCATCAAGGGTGGTAGAATGGGCGCGCTTCGATTCGACTTGCGCTCTCGTTGAAAGGGTAATCAGGGGGTAACTGCAGATTGTCAATGACTTACGCGTTTACTGGCAAAACGGGAAGAGAGACGATTGCTGCAACGTACGTTAAAGCCATGGAAAGGATCCCGCCCCCAGCCCCAGACAATGCATGTGCTATGTTGTCGCTTTGCTGGGCGGCAGCAGAAGCCGCCGCCGTCTTCTTTTGTTGTTCGATAGTTGACTGAGACATGACGGGGACGGAATAGTTCAATGTGGTTAGTATGGGGAGATGATAGCGGAGTCAGCGTATTCCAGGAACAGGCGTGTAGTTATATAGCCGGGAAGAGGGATGGATTTAATCTGAGCTCAAGTGGTAATTATTTTAATCAATCGTCCAGAGGCGACAGACAGGGGTTAAAGAGTAAATGTAGGTGAGAGGGCTGTTATGAGTGACCCGGACGCGGTAATCATTCGGTTCAAAACGGGGACAAATGATAGCCTTCATGACGTTTTGCCGAGCGACTGTGCCTCGGTATTTTTATTTGGCCCCTCCCCTTTCTAAAAGAAGGGAGCCAACATTGAAATAGCGCCTAGCGTCTAATTTGATTACAATAAAATTGATTATGATGATGGAATATATATGAATTGTTCACTCAATTTTTTTGAGGCTAATTCCCCAGTATAGAACACTACCATGCTGCTCCAGAACTTATGCATGTGAATGGCTAGTCTTCTAGATCTTTACAGGGGTACTCAGGATATGTCTCGTACTCCACGTGGAACCCAAATGATTACCAGATATGTAGTTGTAAACGCAATACTTGAAATTCCAACTGATACAATATCAACTAGATAAGAATATTGCTCCGGACATTCATTAAGTTCTTTCCATTAATCCATTCCAACAAAAAAAACACGCATGGAACCCAACCTGCTGAAGACAATGGGGCAACGAGACGTAGGCATGCTGTCGAAAAGATAAAAAAAAAAAAAAAAAGACACCAGCAGTAATCATAGTAAATAGAAAAGAAGACAGCAAGAGGACAATAAACGCAGACCGTTTAAAGCAGGATGGAAGCCGGGGAGGGGGGAAAGGAGTAGTAAGAAGACTATGACGAGAATAGACGAGAGATCCCAGCAGCCATTGCAATGGGTGTGGTCAGTCCATAATCACAGCACCGGTTTTGATTGTTTAAAGCATGCTGGAATGAAAACCCGTCAAGATTGTTCACTGCCACGTTTTGCCAGGGGTCCTTGTCCATAGCATCACTGCTGCCAGACAGAGATGGTCCCCAGCGAGGTGCGGAGAAGAAGGTCGGTGAATTTAGCAGCATCCACCTGCAGAGCCAGACTGGACACCCTGGCCCTGGCTGACCTGCACAGTGGGCTTGTTGTTGATAGTGGCGGTCCCCATGCGCTCCTTGATCTGTCTTGCCATCGTCAAGAAAGCTTGTTCGACATTAGAGGCGTTTTTGGCGGAAGTCTCAAGGAACGGGATTCCCAGACTATCGGCAAATTCCTAGAAAAGCCAGGTTAGTTCTCATGGTCCAAAAGGAATGTCACGAGGCCAAGATTGTGCTTTCGTAAACCGTACCTTCGCCACAGTATATTCCACAACTTTCTTGTCTTCCATGTCGCTCTTGTTGCCCACAAGCAGCTTGTTGACACCTTCGGTTGCATAGCGATCGATTTCCTGGAGCCACTGCTTGACGTTGTTGAAAGAATCCATGTCGGTCACATCATAGACAACACAGATACCATGTGCGCCACGGTAGTAGGATGAGGTTATGGTTCGGAAACGCTCCTGGCCTGCAGTATCCCACTAAAGTCATCGGTCAGTTATGCCACGTCAATATGATCATTTGTGCTGCCTTGTTCATACGATCTGAAGTTTCACAGTCTTGCCGTCGAGTTCAATGGTCCGGATTTTCTGGTCAGAGTTAGATTGCTATAATGATATAATGTCGGAAGGCCGCAAGGACGGGGTTACATACAAAATCCACACCAATCGTGGAGATGTAGCTTTCCGTGTAGGTATCATCGGCAAATCGAAGAAGCAAGCAGGACTTTCCAACACCAGAGTCTCCAATAAGCAGAAGCTTGAAGAGGTAGTCATATCTATTTCGATGGTTAGTTCTCCAATATATGAGATCGCAGACCGTACATCTGCCGCTAAGATAAGGACTGATCGGGGCGCTTAGGGGTGGGAAATCCTCTAAGAGAAGCCGGCAGGTCAGCGAAAAGATGATCAAAACGAAGCAAAAACAATATAATGTATTGAAATCAAAGTGACAAATCGACCCTATGGTTTCTAAAGGAAAACAAAGGAGAAACCTTGAGGAAGAAGTGATCCAAACCGGAGACGGGTCATCATCAGGCAGAGAACTTACCACTCGGGGTTCATGATGGGTAGAGGTCAAAAGGGATATCTGTTTGTCAATAGGAGAAGAAAAAAAAGATTGAATGGAGCGAGAGATAGAAGAAGTGGGAAGAACAAGCACCGCAAGTCGATGAAAGTGGAAGAGAAAGAGAGTTGCTATACTCTGGTTTGTGGTTGATGGCGGCGACTTGAAATGGCGGTTGCGTTGCGTTGCTGGAGTGCAGGAGAGCAGGCGAGCCCAGCGTGCAGGTTCCTTTTGGGTCGGGACCGTTTCATTTCACCTCCCGATCCAGTCTAGTGCGTCCATTCATACAATACTATGACCACTACTGCTATTTTTTTTTTTTTTTCTTTTACCATTTTCCCTGTGATTGCTGGATACGAATTGCACATCAATAATAAAAATAATGAAATAGTATCCGTCTGACAATGAAGCGTCTCAGGTGACCATTGTGTGCATGTTGTGACCTAATTATTTCCCCCTCATTGTAGGACATCACCTTCACATGACTTGTACACATTTGAACATGTTGATGGTTGATAATTGATGATTGATGATTCCCTATAGTATACCCCTTCCTCCAAGAAATCCCCTATGGTGATTACAGCTGGAAGAAAAGAAAGGAAAAAAGAAAATTAGGCAAAATCAATGAGTCTGGAGCCATTCCAAAACAGCTTTCTCATCCCGTTCCTTGTAGGAAGCGTTGGTTCGAATGCTGTCAGAAACAATCACTAGTGCGCGATTGTAAGCACTGGTATCCTTGTTCTGGAAGAACGAGGAGATATCTGCTCCAACCTGGTGGTCCGCGAACTTGGAAAGGCCCATTCGCACAAACCGCTCAAAGACCACATTGTTTGCGGACAGTCGGGCCTCGACGGTACTCCAATTGTTCTTCATATACTGCCATAGGAGATGTCGGACTATGGAATTCGCGGCCAGAGAGACAGCCCCGTTGTGGACATCTTGGATAGCTACCTTGTCTGAAAAGACAAAGTTTAAGTAATCATTCACGAGGTCAGCATTTTTAGTACGCCCAAGCGCCGCCAGACAAATCTCTTTGCCGTCAACAGAGTCTGTCTTAAGATACTCGTCCTTGACGGCATCATATTCTTTGCGACTACCCTCCGAGATCGCAATTCCAAAAATCGCCGATCGCAAATTTGTGTGCACTGCAGTTCTATCTTGCCCCGTAGCCCAGAGTTCAAAGCGACGTTTAGCCTCAGCGACGATGCTGGAGCTCCGAGATTAGTTGCAACTTCGAAGTACATACTTGGAGAGGTATACTTACCCTTCATGACCCGCCAGACCGGTCACTGTAATCAGGAGCTTCCGGAGCTGCACAGTGAGGTAATCCTCATCAGGTTTGAAATCCCAACCAATCTTTTCAGCAGCGGGAGCGGTCACTTCAAGAGTAAACTTCTTAAGAAGCGACGCTGCGTCTTCATTCTGAGAGAATATAGAGCGTAGATTCGAGAGGGATGAAGAGATCTGAGACCAGACACTAAGAATACGAACGTTAGAATAGATGCGCCAAGTCCAGGGGGAAGAAGAGCACTGGCGTGTCCTAGAGACTCACAGATAGTTTTTCTCCCTTTTGAAGCCGTCCAACAATGCCAACAACGCGGAAGTAGTGCCTTCTCCAGACACAGCCAGGGCAGCAGCATCACCAATCAAGCCAATCTTGTCTTCAGTGCTCAGCAGATCACGAGACTTCCCAAGTTTTGCCAGGCGATCGGCTGGGTAATTTGTTCGATAGAACCCTGAAAGGTCTCTGTTGATCTTGTAAAACGAGTCTTGACTGATTCCCTTAATGGTGTCAACTTTTGAGTTAAGGGCACGGGAGTCGACGTCTGTGGTGTTCAGGTCTGACTTGATGCCTAGAGGAATCCACCAGGTTGACTCATCCTCCTCGGGCTTCACATCACCTGTCGACAAGAACCGGTTCTGGCGGACGCTAACTCGTCCCTGTTCTTCGGCCACAGTAACAACCGGGAAGCCGATTTTGCGGATCCAAGGGTCCTTTTGGTAATAAGTGAGTTGAAACGCTCGAAACGGTTTCTGCTTCGTTTCTCACTCACCATAAAACTGTTGACATCCTGCTTTGAGGCATTACTGAGAGCTGACCAAAGGTCATTTGTGGTGGCGTTTCCTGCAAGAAAAGGATGGACTGTTAGCACCTCTCGAAAAATATCTCAATTTCTCAAGACGCACCATAGGCGTGGGCTTTGAGGTAGTCGGCCACTCCGCGTAGGAAGGTCTCGCGACCAAGATGTTCGCTGAGCATCCGAATCACCGAACTTCCCTTCAAGTAACTGATATGATCGAAAATCTGATCAACTTCGAGGGCGTTTTTAACAGGTACCTCGATAGGATGAGACGCGCGCAAGGAGTCTAATTGGAACGCTTGTTGAACACCTTCAGCCTGGGAAACCGTTAACTACTTCCTGAACAAATTACATCATTGCCTCGATTATTGCGTACAACAAACTGGGACCATATGTTCCACTCTGGATGATTATATTAGAATTCTGTGACAATTCTTAAGGAAAGTGATATCCTTACCGGGGTAGAAATGGTCGACAGCAAGCCAGCCAACCCATGTGGCGAAGCCTTCATTGAGCCAGAGCTCATTCCACCAATCCATAGTCACAAGGTTGCCAAACCATTGATGAGCCAATTCTGAAAGCCCCGGGATTAGAATGATCGAATATAGTATTAGAACAAACCAAATGAGACTAACCGTGCGCGACAACGTATGCAATGCGATTCTTATACCGGGTATCAGATTTACCCTCATCGAACAACACGGCAGTCGTGCGGTATGTGATGAGACCCCAATTCTCCATGGCACCCATAGCCTAAAGAATCACAGTAAGTAAGCCCCGTTTACATCTCCAAAAGAGAACAAACCTAGTAACATACAAATTCATGGACAGCGAGAAGGTCTGCCTTCGGTAGGGGGTACTCGACTTCAAAGACTTCTGAGAAATAGTCCACTGTACGATGAGCACATTCCAAGGCGAAGCGAGCTTGTTCTTTGAGGCCTTTCGTGGTATATACACGGACCGGGATACTCTTGCCCTTATATTTGCGCTGCGTCATCGCTTCAACATAATCGAAATCACCGACTGCCCACGCAAGAAGCTGCAGGATGCGCGTATTAGCTTTCCGTGTAGATAGAGACATATATGGATGCATATGAGCGTATACTAACATAGGTGCTCATTACTGGTGTCCTCTCGAACGTGACAAATTTGAAACCAGGATTGCCCCCAGCCCTCTCTGACTTAACGGGCATGTTACTAAGTGCAATTTGTCCCTTAGGCACCTCGATCTCGAAATCGAAGGTGGCTTTCAAATTCGGCTCGTCAAAGCAGGGGAAAGCTCTTCGCGCATCACACGACTCAAACTGCGTGCTCAGCATGTAGTGGAAGTCACCCTCTTTTGGAGTGTCTGTAGCAGGTTCTACTGCAGGCTTGTACTTGGAGCGGTAAAACCCCGTCATAGCATTGTTCATGGTCCCCTTGAAGTTGATAAATAGGACAACATCGGAGGGTGTTACTTCTTGCGGGAATTTGAATGACACCCGTTCTGACTTCTTGTCATACGTTATTTTGGACGCCTTTGTCAATTTGTCGCCTGGTAAAAGCACAATGATGTTGCCGTCAGTAACTTGACCGATCACAAACAGCCACACTTATGACCCGCTGGGAGGGAAGGAGCTCTCCATGACGGACCATTTTGCGCGAAGATGTCTACATTCTGGACTTCAATCTCCTTCGAATTAAGGACGATCTCTTGAGTCGGGCGGGTAATCCTCGCATCAACCTTCACGATACCATTGTAGGCCCAGGAACCACCAAGCTGTAAGTCATACAGAGAAACGTGGTAGTGAAGAGGTTTGGCCCTGAGAGATAGTCAAATGGTTGTTCTGGAAACACCAAGTATCGTTGGCCACATACACGTCGGGGAGGACTTCTCTATCCTTTGTCGCCATTGCATGCGCTTCGGCGGAACAGTATCGTATGCGTGAAATTGATAGGGGAAGCTTAAAGGGTCGAAGAGAAAATTTGCCAGAAGAGTGAGGTCGCGAGCGATTCTCAAACGAAGCGGAATAACCGGCGGATCCGGAGGGAGAAAGGGTACAGAACAAAGAAGAGGAGTAGATAGAGGGGAAGAGGGGTCGATAGCCCCGAGGACGACACCGGATTGCTGTCACGCCAGCGTATCTGGTCGATGCGATGCATCTTTTTCTCCACATCTGCTCGACACAATTACTTTTGTGGCATCAATTGCATTGGAAAGCCCAAAAAAAAAAGAATTAAAGCGATAAAAAATCCTAGGAAAGCAAGTAATTACTAAAACAAGTTAGGGCACTTTGTATGTAATTGACACGGGTTTCTGTAATAACATGACGGAGCTCCGTCGGAGCTTTCGATGATTTATCCGCCTTCACTACATCACTACGTGCGACTCGATTTACCATAACTTATCAATTCACTCTTCCGACTTATAAATTTCGACTTTCTTCAGTTACTCCTCCTCAAGTATCTTACGATCTCAAATAAGGCAAAACAAGAAATGGCCGATTCAGACGAAGAGTTCATTGGAGATGTCACAGAAGATGAAGACTTGCAAGGGTCGCTAAGTGCTACCGCCTCTCATGCAAAGCGGAGGAGAAAGCAGCGCGGAGGTGCAGAATGGGAAGTCTCTAGAACTTGGGAGACCTTAGTGGAGGGGGCAGATGGTACAATCAGTTCTACTGTCGAAGGGTTACTGGAGGCCGGTAAAAGAAAGAGGTAAGTTCTAATATGGGTAGGGGAAAATCTGCGTGTATGAACGCGGCCAGAAGCTCATTTTGCTGAGACCGTATCCTCTCATAGGCTACTCCGAGATACGACTCCTTTACAACGTGGTATCATTCGACATCTTATTTTGGTTCTGGATCTGTCGCAATCTATGGCAGAGAAAGACCTACGACCGACACGATACCTTCTAACTATTCGATACGCGCAAGAATTTGTGAGAGAATTCTTTGAACAAAACCCCATCTCCCAGCTCGGTTTGCTCGGTTTGAGGGATGGGCTTGCGGTCAGAATAAGTGATATGAGCGGTAATCCAACGGAGCACATAAATGCGATCCAGGCCTTGAGGACGCAAGACCCAAAAGGTCTGCCCAGTTTGCAGAATGGGTTAGAGATGGCTCGGGGCTCCCTTTTGTGAGTTTTTTTTTTTGTTTTTTCCGCTCTCACAAGACTAGTTGCATGGTCCATCCCCGCTAACAAATGCCCGGCAGCCATACTCCAAGTCACGGTACACGCGAAATCCTGATTATATTCGGCTCTCTCCTTTCCTCAGATCCCGGTGATATTCATCAAATGATATCTACTCTTGTTAATGATAGAATCCGAGTCGGAATCGTTGGCCTTGCTGCTCAGGTGGCCATTTGCCGTGAGCTCTGTGCAAAAACCAATGGCGGCGATGATACTACGTACGGCGTGGCTCTCAACGAGCAGCATTTTCGTGAATTAGTAATGGACGTGACTACTCCACCAGCTGCATACTCCCAGAAACAGTCTGCAAGTTCCCTTCTGATGATGGGTTTCCCATCTCGCAGTGTCGAGGCGAGCCCTTCACTTTGCGCATGTCATTCTAAGCCCTCCTGCGGAGGGTACCTTTGCTCACGATGTAGTAGCAAAGTTTGTGGTCTCCCTGCTGAATGTCCAGCATGTGGCCTTACATTAATCCTTTCAACCCACCTTGCTCGATCTTATCATCACTTATTTCCCTTGAAGAACTGGGTGGATGTACCGTGGCAACGTGCGTCCAAGAGCTCTGCATGCTTTTCGTGTGGCATAGCTTTCCCATCAGTACCATCTGAAGATCAATGGCCGGTTACTGAGAATAATGCAAGAGGGATGAGTGTAAGCAGTCGCTATGAATGCACTGTATGCGTCAATCACTTTTGCATTGACTGTGACCTTTTTGCTCATGAGATCGTACATAATTGTCCTGGTTGTCAGAGCAAACAGATTCCAGAGAAGGTCGAAGATCCTTCTTCCAGTCACCTTGCAGATATGGATACAATGGACACGACAAGATAATGCTTTTTCTACTACTTCTCTTTTCTTCTCTCTTTTCTTTCTTTTTTCTTTTTTTTTTTTTTTTTTTTTTTTTTTTTTTTTTTTTTT